ATATATATATATATATATATATATTTACTTATTGTAATAAAGATATTACCGTACTCATAAATACTATAGTACAGTAAAATGAACGAAAAATGAATTTTAAATACCTGCTTTTTGTTATCATGAATGGTAATGAAATTTTTTGGTTGTGATTAAATTTGTCGATTGTAGTATGCTATAATAAATCATATTAATTGAAATAAAATACCTAAATATATTGTCATATTACTCATAGCATAATTCTTAATTTTCAAATGATCTATTTCTGAGCACATGTCAGCATTCATTATCAGAATATTAGAATGACTTCGTTAAGGAAAATCCATTCATAAATTATTTGAGACGGATGCTTACTTTCCATTAGTGTACTCAATATATCGTAATATTAACAGTTATTTTTTAGAACTAATATTACTTAAATGCTTTCATGTCCAGAAGAAATTTAGTGAGAAAGTAGGGTTCTAAAACAAACCTTCTGGCAGATGACTTCTATTTAACATCTAGAAGATTTTCATGCACGCATTTATCCGTTTATTTTGCTAGTCATTTTATTGGATCAGTTCATTGGATTCTATTAATCTTTCGAAATACTGTACCTGCATTTTAAAGACAATATTGTTTTAATCGAAAACATCACATATTTTATGCGAATCGATTAAGCATGGCTAAAAAATATAGTTATGGATAGAAGTATAAGGTTATGGGTTAGATAATCTACGAGATACCTACTCAAACTGAAGATTAAAACCGATAAATTTGGAGAACCGAATTTATAACGGCGTGAATTCACTGGAATGAAGGTAATGGTTTGATATGAAATGCCAGAAAAGTAAAATGGATTTCTTTGAATCAAAAATTTTTACTTCACTGATCTCTGACTTAAAATGTCATATTTTTTCAACCAAAAACTGATTAAAACAAGTAATCAGATCACTGCGCAATGAAACTGTCATCGTAATACTCATGATAGAATTCGATTTACTGTAATTGTTTGCTTTCATAAATTGAAACAAGTCAGAAGTTAAAGTTTTCCTCTAAAAAACTTCAAGATTTTTTCATCAAAAGACAAATTTTGTTTAATCTTTGATCGATGTCTGCAAAAATTAATCAAAATAAATTATAGTTACTTCACAAAATATTTTATGAACTTTAAATGACAACCAGAAAACTACTTTGAGCTCATACATGTCTTATTATTCTTTGCTTTTGTTGTTTAAATTCTTAGAAATAGCTTCTCCTCGTCATGGTTCTCTTGAATTGAAATGACTTGCAGTTGTTGTCTTAGCTTTTCAAAAGACAGAAGTAAATTTCAATATCTGAGATTTTAATCTTTAGTTGTTTTGTTCATCGGCGTTGTTTCGTTTCCCAAATTGGTAGATGTATTCTGTTCTTCAATAAATTAATTTTTCATTTTTTAGTGCAAAAATGTACATAAGCAGTGAAGGAAGTGAATAAATTAAATTTGATATAAAGTTTTCTGCTTCAAAAACTGTAACCAAAGCAGTTATGAATATGGAGGTATGATTCACTGAGGTCAGAATTAGTGATAAAACTTTGTAAGAATGACATAGAATTAGTTATAAAAGGTCAAAACAAGCACGGTGGTCGATAATTGCTTTTTTGCGTTTTTCGTCGATATTATCATAAAGGCCATTTTTATTTACTTCTTATCTCATTTTTAAAAAATTTCTTTAAAAACTTTTACTTGTGATTGAGTTAATCACTAGTTTATCCGTACTGCAATCCATGCGCAAAGAATGCATCAGTTTACAATGTTGGTTCTGCTCATTTTACTGTGGTGATTCATTCTCGACTCGATGCGTCAATCGAACCAACTTGCTTCTCATTTTAAGGCTTTTTCAATCCGAATTTAATCACTCTTATAAATTCATTTGCTTGTTCAGGCCTGTTTGCTAATCCATGCATGCATATTGACATGAAGCAACAATTTGAGGGAAAAGAACTCGTAGGATTCATAAGTTATGAATTATCATTGAGATCATTATCTCTGCAAAAGACGTAATTCTGGAATTTGAAAATTGAAGGAATCTCTGGAGATTGCGATTAATACTTATTTGATTTCTGAAAGTTTTCGAGGAAATTTTGAAAAATGATAGAATGATTTTAATAAAAATATCGAAAAAAAGCTGCAAAGAGAAGTAAATATTTTCATTTTCCCTCGAGAAGTTCTGGGATTCTGGAAAGTTCACGAAAAATATTATTTCAAGAAACACTTGGAAGACTGCATAAAAATCATAAAAAATCTTGTATATTTATTATCAAAAAAGTCAAAAAATTTCTCGGAAAAAAGTTGAAAAATTAGTCAGAAAATTTTACTAAGCATCAAGAAAAGAGGAGAAATGAAAGAAATTAGTGAAAGAAAGGCAGAAAGTGAAGTTTCGGGAATTAATGACAAATGACCGCTTTTCTCGAGGATACCGAAAAACACGCTCTTCCTTCCTTTCTTCCTTCAAATCATATTAATGAGTGAGTGAGTGAGCGAGGGAGTGAGCGAGTGAGGGAGTGAGTGAGCGAGTAAGTGAGTGAGCGAGTGAGTGAGTGAGCGAGTGAGTGAGGGAGGGAGTGAGTAAGTGATTGAGTGGCGGTGTTTCGATTCTTATCTTCAAGTCAGGGCATAGCCATTTCATTTTGCCATTCTTCAAGCTCTCAGCTGGAAAATGGATGCAACGAAAATTGTAATTAATCAGATCATTCGTCATGCCATTTGCATGTAAAAAATATTTCTGATAGTAAAAATATCCAAGTGTTTTAAAATTTCATGCAATTAAGAGATAATTTAATATCAGTTTACAAAGCCTAACTTATTATTTGAACCATTTTAACAAGTTGAATTGGTTGATTTGGAAAACACTCTTGTTTCTGCATTTAATCAATGAAATGGATATGTTTAGAGGATATTTGGGAACAGCAGGCATTTATTTGCCTTGATACTTTAAAGCAAAAAAATCTTTCAAACGAAGTGCAAGTGATCTGCTCTCAAGAATACCTATTTCAGAAGTAGGTCTGAAATTTCCAGCATTCTACAGAATGATTATTTTCGGAAAAAAACTGAATTAGAATTGATTGTTTGTGTGTTAAGAATCTCAGTTTGTAATTGACAAATTCTTTACAGGTTATAATAATTATATTTATTATATATCTTCTTGCAAATAGTGTTTAGTTAAATTTCAGAGGATAAAATTAGCAGTTTTTCAGGTTGCTGAGAAATATAATGATAGAGTTAATGCCAATCTCATCTTTTGTTTTCTTGAGTTCATTTTAACAGTTCAATGCACATGACTCTCCCATACTCATTTAATCAAGTGATAAAAAATTTTTTCTTTGATAGTTATAAATTTGCTAATACTCATTGCTATATAATGACATGAAAGATAAGTAGGTAGCTAAGAATATTATAAAAATAGATTAAAACCACTCCTGCACCACATTTAGTTATTCAACATTGATACTGAAAAATTGTGATGCTGATAAAAAGTAAAAGGAAATAGTTCTAAAAAAGTAATAACTAGTACCAAAATGATAGTTGCTGTATCATTAAAACTGCTAGTAGTAATTACAATTAATACTGATAATAATTTACATAAAAATAAATTTCCCGAATGGCGAAAGGTGAATGAAGCATAGCTAATGACAGGCTTTCATTTTATATCTAATCATTCATTTATCAAAGATGAATACACTGGACTCTGTCTTGATCTACCTTTGTAATTAATAAGGAAAGGATTCAATCGCAGTAACTGCGCTCAAAATCCTCTCAGACAAATTAATATTAGTAATAACAATGATAATAATCACACGCAAATTAATTGGTTTAGTGATAATAACAGTGAACAGTAATTGAGAAGGACAAATTTTGACCATTACAGTCATCGCTTCTGTTAGTGGATCATTCCAAAAGTTGGTTAGTCATATACATTTCATAGCATGGGGATTTTCGTGAGTGAATAATAGATTTTGAGAAAGAGAAAGAATCAAATATCTTAGATTTCTGTTAAAATGAGTTTGAAACTAACAGACTAATTTCTAAGACAGCTATAAGAGATATGATTGTTTCGAAATAATTCAAGTAGTGGTCGAAAAAAAATAGTTTTTAGCATTGTGATGCTGCAGTGATAAACAGCAGAAATTCTTTTTATATTATAGGAAATAAGAATGTTTAAAACTATTTTCAAAAGGTTGTAACTACAAAATTTCTGATATGATATTGTATATGAATTCAGACAAATAAGGATGATAATTATCATTAAACCAATTAAATTAGCTATTAAATCAAATTTTATAATAGTGGTAATGCAGTGAAAGTGGCAAGTGATTTATATGACTTGTAACAATAAAAGTAACGAAAATATCTATTACAAAGTTGTAAAATATCTATTACAAGTTTGTATTATCATGAAGATTAACTGAATTTATGTCATACTCTTGTTATCATTATTTATTATTTTATTATTATTATCTTTATTTATATTATCACAGACTGATAGGCCTTCAACATGACAGTAATAACAAGTAACTCAGCAGAAGGTGATTTTGGTGGTGTTACTTTTGTTTAACTTCCAGTAATTAAATTGCTCAAGTATATAAGAAAAAATTGTACAACGGTCATTTAGCCATAATCGACATCTCTATATGTTCCTAAAAAAAGAAAACTTTCTTTAGTGTTCGCTAGAAATAGCGAAAAAATGATTGCAGCATCTGACCTTTTTTTCTAAACAGTGTTGTGGCAGTGACCTTTTCAGTCAGTGCACAAGCACTCTTCTATGTCTCAATACTGAGTTTGATCAAAAATGATTGCAAGAAATGAAAAATATAAATGATTACAATTATTTTTATCAGATGCAGAATTGCTCGGTAAATTATTCGGTCATTTATGATGATAGATAAATAACAAACTTACTAAAAATAGTTTCAAGCCATTTTTAGAAATAATTCTGTTTCAGGTTTCCAAATTTAATTGGCGATGAAAGTGAAAGTGATGCAGCGAATGGTTTCGGTACTTTCGATCCGTTAATTAAAATTCGCTGCTCATCGCAACTTAAATTTTTTTTGTGCTCGATATACTTCCCCATGTGTACTGACAAAGTAAAAGCTTTTAAATTCAAATTTGTCAATTGGTAGAGCTGATTTTCAATTTTTGACTTAATAGCCACTACAGAATTATTTTATAAACGGTATTTCATCCAACTTATTTATCTTTTTCTTTATGAATAATTTTAAATAAGTACAATAATTTAAATAAGCACACACAACTCGTGAATTTTTCCACCGCAAATCTTTCTGAATTCTATAATAAACTGTGAAATCGTGCTAGAAAACTTTTATATCACATACCAATTTTGATAATTTCATTTCTCACTCTTGGCTTTATCAATTTAAAAAAGATTTTGTCGTGAAAAACGGACACGTCTCTCGTAATTTCCTTTTTCCTTTCTTTTTTATCAACAGCATAGAAATTCATAAACTAATCTTCGCAATAATTCATTATTGATTATTTTTAAGCGATAAAATCACTTGATGATGTTTGTTAGCTTTTTTCCTAATTGATTGATCCAATAAACATTTGGCATTGACCTTCTAACCTTCAAGATGATGGATGGTATTAGTGATATTACTATTCATGTGGTATTAGAAAAGACTAAATTAATCTTGCTTTGCAAAAAACAAGGGAGAAGCAAATGAATGATAGTTAACTAATTTCTTTGAATATTTACCTGAGCTTTATCATATTTTAAAGCATCGAAAGTTAGATTTTATAAGCAGTATTTGATCCAACTTATTTGTCTTTTTTTTAATGAATAGTTTTAAATAAGACTATAATTTAAATAAGCACACACAATTCATGAATTTTTTCATTGTTATCATTATTATTTACTATATACTAACTTTATTCCTAATATTTTTTCCTATTCATGTTTTTGTTTTCAACTCCGTTGATACAGTATTTATTACCTTTATCTTCGTTACAGAGTATTCTGTTTTGTTCATCTCCACTATTATTTTTATCGCACTTATTTATTACTCTAAAAATTTAAGGTATAATATTATTTACAGATTTAACTTGTGTTCGTTTCAGGTGCCAATCGCTATAGGTCCATGTAGACCATTATGTGAACGAGTACAGATGAAATGTGAGCCGTTGTTGAAAGAATTTGGATTTCCCTGGCCTGTTTCTATGAACTGCTCCAAATTTCCACTAGGTTATCAACGTTTCATGCACATTTTCCACTCTTATGCCATTTATTTCACTTTATAATGCTAAAGTATTGAAGTACATATAGTTAACTACAAGTACTGTAAAACTGTCGAGTTGGTGAAGGCCAGAGGTCACAAACGACAAGTACATGTGCTAAATTTCTTTTTTAATTTATTTGTCAATGGATAATAAATACGGCTATATTCATTATAGTCGTGATATTAGTTATAAAAATGATAGCATCAATATTTTTACAAAACTGTAAAAATATTGATGCTATCATTTTTATAACTAATATCACGACTATAATGAATATAGCCGTAGTTTTATATCTCTAGATATATAGAGTAGATTTAAGGTCTTACATATTTATTCATGAACCAGGAATTTAAATATACATCTCTAGATATGTATAAGAGTAATAAAAGTAGTGGTTGACGATGACAAAATATATATTCATATGAATGAATTAGTATTACTAATTTAGAAAACAATCATGATGCAATGTGTATGAAGGGCCCAGCATCGGAAGAGGATGGTCTTCTAGCACTTGGGGAACCAGAATCCGATGTCACTGAGCTTGCAACTACCACTTCGAACCAATGTATACAATCTATTACAGTATATATGAACCGTACTGGACAATGTGTTCCATTATGTCATTCAGCTGCTGGATATACAAAGGTTTTTATCTATTTTCTGATTATTTCGAACCGCAATATTAATTTTTTCCAGTAGTTACTGAGTTTTAATTTTCAGAATGATCGTGAAGCAGCGAATACAGCGTTATTTATTATGTCATTACTTTGTACAGCTCTAACTTCAGTTTGTCTACTTACTTTTTGTACTAGGAAACACTGCCTGGTAGCACTCCCAGAACTGTCACTTCTTTTCTGTTCCGTATCATTTGCAATATCTGCAATTGTTTACCTATTCTCACTTTTATATCGAGATCAGGTATTTAGTTTTACCTACTTTCACTACTAATTAAATTATGAAATTAATTTTTTTATTTATCAAGCAGATGTCATTTTTATCTGGTTATGACTAAAATTATTAGACATGATAAAATTGCTGCTTGCATACAATTAATATTGAATGTAACTATCAAAACAACATCTCTGTTTTCTTTTTGTGAATGTAATATACTTTTCTTCACTTGACTACACAACAAAATTATGCTTTTTAAACTGGAACTGTTGCCAAAGATTTCTTCTTGCACCGAAAAGAATTTCAGATTTCATGTGTGGAATATAATTCGAAATTAATATCTGTAACTACCGGCGTTCAGCATGTTCCTTGCACAACGGTTGCCATTATGCTATATTATTTTGGAACTACCGGACGACTGTGGTGGTTTGTCTTGTGTTGCACTTGGAATAAGCACACACAACGCCATCAACAAAAATCGGTATAGATACTTTAAAACATGTTAATTCAACTTCAAGTAGGATTTGACTTTCTTCACTTTCATGCTTATTCTTTCTGTTAATAAATAGTCATGATATTCGCATCAGAATTAAAAACTGAAGTATTTATTTGAACGATAACATCATTATTGGGAATGTATTAGGCAAGGATGGGATTTTCATCTTGAATTTCATCTCAGTACAAATGATTTTCTTTTTTTTTATAAAAATATACATTTAAGCAAATAAACTTCAGATTAAGTTGCTTCCTGCCATAGAGTTTATGGAGTGACTTCTTGCAAGTTTAGAGCTATTTTAGACATTCTAGCTATAGCTGTTGAAAAATGTTGCTTTTGAATATTAGTAACTCGATGAAAAAATTGGAATATTCCGAAATCAATGATAATTAAAAAGTATCTTGATTTAAAGTGAGAAGTCTTTCTTCAATATAAATGTTCAGCTATTGAGAAAGGAAAAATGAAAAAAATTTCTCCAAGATGGATTGAAAAATTTGCATAATTAATCATCGGTTTCTCACAATGAACACTCAGTTTTTTGGAGGAAAATTGGCATAATCAGTCATTGCTTGTCTAAGAAACAACGCTTAAAGATGCAAATTTTTCAAGGAATTCAGAAATTCTAAAGCCGTATTATGTAGAGAGGAACATCAATTTGCCTTCTCAGTGTCTTTTGATGTCGTTTGTTGTGCAAAAAATAAGACTGAACAGTGTTTGCGTCTAGCATTAAAGCTTTTGCTAATTTCAATTCTGATTTATTCACAGCTGAATCACTATTGTTTTTGCCGTAACTACCATTTTCAAGATGTTGCAATACGATCATTTATTATAAATCAATGGGAAGTTTATTATCAAAGATAATGATGAACTGTCCTAAAAAACTATCGTAAAAATTTGAAAATCAATTAATCAATTTGAAAATGATAATGAGTGCTTTAGTCAAATGTGTCTGCCATTTCCAAATATATTTCATTTGTAAAACTGTGATTCATTCCTTTAGCATGCATAGATAATAGGCCGAGAAGCAGTAGCAAAATGTCAGAAAGGCCCGCAGTTTTGATTAATCCTACGATGCTTGTGTTTGTGCGCTTTGATTGACAGCACAATTCGTCCAGAATGATTTGCTTGTAATCTATAAAATATATGCAGTAGACAGAACATGAGCAGTGTTCTGAAAAGCAAAGCAAATGAAATGAACTTGCATAATTCGAAGAAATAAATGAGTACTGCTGTATTTAGAAATCAATAAATGAGCAAATACAACAGAAACAAGTAAGATAAATGTATTTTCTGCATCGTAGATTACAGATTACAGTACTTCTGTTGTAGAATGATGAATAATTTTATTTTCTGGGTTTTTCAGGATTCATTGCTTCGAACACACGTGTTGGCTTGGGGAGTACCTTTAGGAGCTGTGATTCTTGCATTGATAGCTCAAAGTGTCCGAGCTGACCCCTTATCTGGAATTTGCTTAGTTGGTGGCGGCAATCGAATCATTGAAGCTGTATTTGTATCATTACGTGAATTAATACTTTTGCTTTGCTCGCTAGTACCATTATTTTTCGGATGCTTGGCATTGATTGGTAAATTTTAGAATTAGTTGAATCAAGGATGCTTTTCAAATTGCAGATTATATTAAATTTGAGAAAAATTATTAGAGTTACAGTTGAAAGTATCAATTTAATTGAGACAAAATTTCTACTTCAATACCACTATAAGTAAAAATACCACTGTTTCAGCGGTTTATTTTTGGTTAAAAATCAACTGAAGACCTCGAGACAAACTTAACTTTTCTTAGAAGTGAATTTAATTTCAGAAACAAGATCATAGGAATACTGCTTTGTATTTACTGCTGCAAAACCATTATACTTCAGGTTCGGCTCCTGTTCATGATCATTCCGTAGCATCAACTGGTCTATTGGGAAGTTTGTATCCGATGGCAGCTGCTTTTCTGTTACTCAGTTCGTTACAATATCTTCTGGCACCCACAGTAACAGGCTGGAATACGGTGACAGCAATTAAACTTCTCGCGGATCCTTTGATGGGAATTCTCGCTTCATCTGGATGCTTCTTCCAAATTATTTTCAATATTTTTAAGATTAATCGGTTGCAGCTTCTTGATAAGCATGGTTATCAACCTGCAGCACCTCAGATTCCTCAACCTGCGGTTCCCCCTCATGTCGCTGTTTCTAGTAACGGTTATGCCCTAGCCAGGTACCCTGAACAGAAGCTACTTTGTCAATAAACAAGTGGGAACACAGTGTTTGCTGGCAATTATAAATTTTTAGCTAAACCCACTATTATTTTCATACAGAAAAATTTTCATCTCTTTTTGATATTGAGGGTAAGAACAAGAAACCGATGTTTACAATGCAAAATATAAATAAATAAGGTGAATGGTTTAGATGTAAGTAGTAAAAATTATAGCTTTTACAATGTATCATTATGAAAATGTGCACTCACTCCTTAGTAATACTGTGAACTTAATCATACACCCAAAGTTGAAGTGAGAGCACAATTAAGAATTTCAGCGAACTCACAGAGATGTAAAATAAGTGGTCTTGTCTCATGTCATTTTATGAATTTGCCTGTCCTGCATTCCCATTATAATGCCTAACATAATATCAAATGAAAAACTGCCTCTACTCACTGTGAAACTGAATGCGAAACTAAAGTAATGCTACGAAAGCATGCATAATTGATTGATTTCTAAGGTACACTAGCTGCTTAGATAAAGTTAACGCAGTCATCGACTTGCCATTATTACGACTGTAAAGTTTTCGCTTTTAATTGTTGTGAAACAGTTGACAGTCATGTAAGTACGCACTTTTCCTTGAGAACTTTTTATTGCTTATTATTTGTAGAAATGGGATTCCCAAGAGTCGAGAGCACTAATAGAATGAAATCGAATAGTCTGATTATGATTTAAGAAATGACCCTATCGTCAAGTTGGAAATTTTAAGCCACTAGTAGAAATAAACTTCACCATTCTTCTAAAACAAGGATTACTGAGAATGAACTTGTTGGCAAACCACTGATTGCAGTTACCTCTAAGGAAAAACTGAACTATTCGTGAAGGTTTCTTGGCCTTATCAGTATTCCAGTTATTTAACAGAGCAATTTTCAGTTATCATTGTCTTTGAAATCCAATAGGGATTTAGCCTCAGCATCTATCATTCACGCATAAATTGATTATAATAGAAGATTACAATTTTCTCCACAAATGCATTATCTTCATCCTTGACGTTGCTTTGTTGTGCTGATATATGAATTATGCTTGGAGTTTGATTGCTGTCATGCCATAGAAAAGGGTAAAAAACATATCTTCATAAGTAAACCATAGATGTATTTTGCTGTTTCGACATATGTGAGAATTTAAGAAAGATATAAAAATGAGCAGAAATGGTTCCTACAACAAATGCATATTACACAATAAGACATACGCTTATTTTCCAAATTAAATTAATATCTAATCTGTTTGGTAGAAAATTTAACCCCGTATTGGGTTACGGTGTCTCTAATATCCTCTTTACAAGGTCATCACAAAGCGGGCACATCTGTTTTCCACGAATTCTTCATCTCTAGTGGATGTGAAATCAAACAGATGGTGGGGATTGAGAATATGTACACATATACTAACCGTAAAATATTATCAATCATTTTATATTTACTCCATTTTAAAAGCTAACATTTCATACTATCTTTCTTGGCAACAACTAAGTCTTTGCATAGGCACAAATTGCTTCATGCAGTCAAGTCTTATTTAAAACTACAACTCTCCCGACACTAGTTTGCATATCCTATATAACTGACGACGAAAATCCCTACTGAATAACTTAAACTGCATAGTTATCATCTTAGCATTGGGGATCAAACAATTTTCTATCAAGAACAAAAAACTGGTTTATCTAAGTAAATAATTTATTCAAGTCGTATTTAGTTTTGCCGTATTTACGGCAAAACTTGCACAGACTCGAAATATAATGAATACACAAATCACACAATATTATTATTTACTAAACAGTTAAAAATAACTTCTAATTCAAATGAATTACTCAACTTCTCCAGTGAATACTTATACTTTTGTTATAGATTTATTCGAGTGCGCAATATTTTTTGGAATCCAACTGAAATTCTCAGGAAGAGGTGGTATTTCGATTGAATTTGGAATGTGATCTAACTCAAGCAATCGCATTTTCAACTCGATGTTTAAAAAACGATCCACTTGCCGTTGGGCTTGTATCGACAGCTTGTCAACACCTGAAATATTCTTTTCAATCAAAACACTGATATCACCACCATAACCATTTGCATTTCAAAATTAATTAAATGATACATAATATATTTGAACAGAATCACACGCGATTGCTGCTGCATCACTTAGTTAGCTACATCAAATATTAGCTAATAACTTCACATATAAAAATAATTAGTAATAATAATGGAATAACGGAATAATAGTAATAATAATGGAATAATAATGGAATATTAGAATGGAATAATAATGGAATATTACATTAGTAATGGAATAATTAGTAATAATAATGGAATAATGGATATAATGGAATATTAGTAATTAGTAATAATTATGGATGGATTTATCGTTCTGAGATTTAGGAAACTAACAACTCAAAATTTACTAACAAAAAACAACATAAGAGAGATAAATAAGAAAACTGACACTGTCAGAATTGCAGTTAGATAGAACTACTGAGGAAAAAAGTCACTTAAAGAAAGAACTAGTTAATTAAAAATTAAGTAATTCATATTACCGATTAAAGCGTTGATACCATCACACCAGGCACTTATTGTTTGCTCATCAAAAGTGATTAAATGATAAATATCGGGTTTATCACCAACTTCCAATGTTATTCCATGGACATTTGAATTATTTTTTCCCTTTCTACCATTTACCGGAAAATCTCCTTCATTACCCGCTACAATGCGCTGTATGTCAGCTACATCTACTATAAACATATTTGAATACAAAAAAGGAACATTCAAAAAACTCGATGATAAGAAAACATGCAATAGAACTACTTAAAATCATAATTTTATAGGAAAACAGTGGATAATTAGTTTTTCGTACTTTTCAAATTTCCATCAGAATTTGGATTTGATGAACATTCTGGACTGGACCAATCTGTACAAATCAATGTTTTCTCATTAGCATCCAATTTCCAGAACCAAAATTGTTGTCCTAAGATGTTTTTAATTTTTAGAGCTTCTTTTTTCTATAGATAATGCACGTGGAAAGAATAAGCATTCCAAACAAATACAACTCCAGAAACAGAAAAGCCCAAAAGCATCAAAGTAAACAAAAATCTACTTAGTGGCTTGCATATTCTGCTTACTATTTTTAACTGAACAGATACTAGAATTGTATGAATTAGGTAATACCTTTCTGAATTGATTTACTTTTCACTAATTTCCCGAATTTGTAACCATTTTTTAGGACATTTTTTCGATTTTTCAAAATAAGTTCTACAATACTGGGTCGGAGATGCTCACGAAGCTCTCTGAAATATTAACTTCAGCAACGACAAAATCCTTCATAAATTTTTAAACTATATTGATATTTTAATTAAATTACTCCAACTTAAAATTAAGTAATAATACATACCTGAACTATTCCATAGTTACTTAAAATCATTTTTCCACAAAAAGTTTAAAATTTAAAGGGTTTACTTGACAGCATCACTTTGTAATTCTTCCGCTTCTTTAGCACTCCTTTCTTTTTCCCAAATTTTTTTCATATGCGGATACGAATGAGCTGTTAAGATTTCCTCTAACTTCGTAAGAGTACTTGGTTTCTCTAGCAAGCAAACATCAATTTGCTTTCTGACAACAGCCAAAACCTTGAAAAAAGTATTAAAAATCTAAAACCAAAGAAATTATTTGGCGGCTGACATATGCATACTGAATTTACTGAGTCTCTGTTATCACCATTATCGTTCTGTTCAACAGAAAACAAGCTGTTCGTTACACAACGACGATTAAAATTAAAATCAGTTTTCAAAAAACCATCATCAATCTTAACTTTAGAGAATTTACGCACATAAATCAATATTAGCAATTTTTTTGCTGGAAATCACAAAAGTGATGATATTCAGCGAAAAAAATCCCAACCACTTTCGTGTTTCTTAGAATTTTCGTTTTGTCTTGAAAGCTTCAATTAATTTTTAGATGACCTTTTTGATGTCTTCTTCGCTTGCATGCATTTCCCGCCACGTACGGTGGAAAAGTTTTACAAGTAATGCAAAAAAATCTAAAAATGGCCGATCGCTTTTGAAAAATAAAACCAATAATCGATCACCTTCTTCTGCAACAAATTATTATGTATGACTATTTTTTGGAAGTTTTAAATGCAAAAAATGACCAAATGTCACCTGGTTCATTAATTACGTGTAAAACTTCAATTAGCATTTGCACTAAGTGAACCGAAACTATCAAAAACGACCAAGGGTTGTTATCAGATCGCATCGCATTTTCCAAAGAAATCTGCAAGCTGAATATACTTTATTTGGATAAACAACCCTTAGGAACATTATGCATAATTTCATCATAACCTGACATTAAGTTATTGAAAATAAGAGTTCTTATGGAAAATAACATTCATTTTAGTTTCTTTGTTTTGTGCATTTGCATATCTAGTTAATCTGTCTCAAAATTAAACAAATTTATTTATTCATCTTCTTATAATGATATATAGATTATTTTTAGCTTCATGTTTTCTATCAACAAAAAAGTTTTACATGAATTTAAAAGTATATACATACGAGTAAAACCACTTAATACAATTAATGTTTCAATGGTACGTAAGCAACTGATGAATTACTTTTGCAATTGAATCAGCGTGATGGGCGACAAATAATAAGATCGTTTCTAGTGCCAATGATCCTGGTGGTGTTTGTATGACTGCTTCTGTAAATCTTGAAAATTCTAATCGCTTTTCTTCTGACATACTACTCACATACAATCCCTTTCCGCCTTCATTATTAAAAATTTTGAGCAACTGAAAAAAATTCATGCTTCAGTACTTCGCATTAACTTCAAAAAAAGGAAGGACAAATATATGATTATAAAAATATGAATTTTTTGAAAAACAAATAAAGTGATTTATTTGTGCAAGAAAATGTAAGAGTTCTTATGGAAAATGACATTCACTTCAGTTTCTCTGTTTTCCAAATAAATGAACGAAGTTATTCTTAATTTCCACTCACAAAAACTCTCTCAATTTCTGCATCTGATGGGATACGCATGGCTTTCTGGCATAATTTATTAAACTGTATTCGCTGCACCGTGACAAGTTGTTGTTCAATCCCAACGTCTAGCTGGTTACCTTTTCGTAAGACTGACTTCTCAACTGCACAACGAAAAGGTTTTGCATGCAAATGCTAAAAATATAAACCCTGCGAAAGGAATAATTGAACTTTGAAAAAAAAAGGTACATATTTTGCAAAAACAAAGAAATATTTACTAGAACTTTATAGCTAGCGGCGGCAGGTTTTTGACTTACATGAAATACTTCTTTCCAAACTGATCTTGAACCCATACCCTTTTATAATAGTATTTATACATCAAAGCTATACTGGATATATAAAGCACAGAAAAGGAAAGAAAAATGTATAAATATGAATCTCATGATGCAAAAATAAATAATATACTAATAGATAGATAAAACCATCTTTTGCAATAAACTTTCTAAAAGTTGATAAAAGTTCAAATTTAAAGCACTTACCTCTACGATATCAGCTCTTACATCGTCTTTAGCTTTTATATATAAAGAATTCATCAATGTTAAAACGTTTAGTATAACTCGTTCATCTGATTTCTCAAGATGGCGTATAAGTGATTCAAAAGGAACTTCTCGTGATACCAATTTCATTTTATCTTCACTAAAACTTCAATATGTAGAAAACGCAATATATTTTTAAAACTGCTAAAAAATTTGAAAATATACAATGCAACTTTTTTGAAACATTTGATTTCCAGCTAAACATAAATTCTTGTGAATAAGCACATTTTTATCGAATGAATGAAGATACTTTTCTTGACAGTTGCATAGTAATTTTCCACAAGCCATACTACATCCAAAACTACTTTTTTACTTTTGTTGATATTATGGTTAGCATTTATGATCAACAAGAGTTTAAAAAAACATATGGAATGCCAGTATCAAATAAAACATAGAGGACTAAGTTAAAGGATACAAATTTATTGTTGCGAATTTTATAAAGAAATTTGTTACTTCTTTGAATTCAAGATGAGATCGACAATATTAAGCGAAGACACTAATAAAGTGTTATCTTCTTGCTTGGCTCTTCCAGTGATGTTTTCTGCAATTTTAGAAATAAAGTCATCAGAAACCTGTGACCAATACATCAAACCCGAGTGATCCATTAGCATCAGCAAAGCTTGAAGAAATCGAGATTGCAAACAGACGTTGCTAAAGAGAATTTCTTGTAATCATCCAAAAACTTCTAATAATAGTTTCACGCAAAGCTTGAAGAAATCGGGATTGCAAACATTTTTTAAAACATACCCAGATACACATTGATTAACACAGAAGTGAAAAAAGGACTGAAAAGTGGCCGATGTAAATTGAAGTCAGAAAGCAAATAATGTAATTAAAAAAAAAAAACGGTACAAATAGAAAACGAAATTAATAGCAATATTTGATGAAGAGAAAGCGCTAGACTCACTCTGCATATATTCCTTTCTCGATAATTTCGAATATATAATCATATCCATGTATACGCAAGAATTCCGTAGCAAAGGAAATATCACCAGAATAAGAAATTAATTCAGTGACTGCTGCTTTCAAATCGTCAACATGCTTGGATGAAGCACGTAAACATGTCAACAAATAATGAGCATAACGTTCCTATACAAAACAAAAATAAATCAATTAAAAAAAACAAGAACTAATTAATGTAAAAAGTATTATAAATAAATGCTTCCTTCCTGAGTATTTCAAAACATGGGCACGATATAATCTCTAATTTTTCCTTTCTTATTCCTTTATCTTTTCTCTTCCTTTAAGCTATCCTACAAATTTTTTCTCTAAGTAAAAAATTTGCCAAGCAAATAAAGACAAGATATTCAAAAATGTTAATTCCACATACCGCAGATGCAGTTAAAATAAGAATAAATCCTTGCGGAATCAAATTACGATTTTCTTTAGTGAGAAAGACACCATCGTTGCCACTGTCTTCAAACTTTAATGCATAAGCGTTTCTTTCTAACTGAGGAAGTTTTAGCTCTATGCTCAAACGTGTAATCAAATCAGTCAAGACTTCGTTCTGAAAAAACTATTAATAAACCTTGTTTCTCGAGATTTTTCTAGTCTTTCTTAATAAACATGATTGCAAGTATTTTGATTTAATGAAAAATACGAATTGAACAAAAATAAAATTTGCCTGCTTGTCAAAAGTCACATATGCCCAAGTAACACTTGTATTGGGATCAGCGCAAAATTCTTCGCCAAGATACTTTTTCAGATGTGGATCTAATTTCACAGCTCCCTTAAAAAATAAATATGGAAATGTTAATTAGATATATTTACTAAATATACTTACTGGTAATGAATGTAAGATAAATTATATATAAACTCAAGATTTTAATGACAAGAATATTTTTTTGATAATACACTCTAGATGAATTTTCAGCTTAAAATTAAAATTATTAATAAGAGGCTAAAACAGCACCTGAATTTGCATAAAAAGTGAATTATATGGTAATATTTGCAAATACAATACCAATTAAAGTTCATTAATGATTAGAAATTTAACACTAGCCTTTTTCATTTACCTCAGAAAACTAAAATCCACTGCGTTAAACTTTTGGTTTCTACTCACTATATCATAATGATAATATGAATTCATGATTTTAATAATCCATGTATTAAAAATAAATATTTGTAATATTGCAAATTAACAAATGGAGACCTATGCAGAGTTTTAAACACACTTTTATTTAAAAAAGTATGCATTTCCAATGAAATGAGAGTTTCCAATCTATGCTTTTAGAAGATTTTGACCTCATACGAGCAAGCAGAGTTGAAATCAATTGTAAACAGTAGGTTACAGCCCAATGCCATTTGCCACATATGTTTAAATGCTCTCTTTAAGATCACATGTGATAAATGCTGAAATTGACTGCAGCTTCGAAAATAAATGCAGTTTACAAATAAAGGAGACAGACCAGCTCACCTTAACAAGATTTTCTGGAAGACGGATATCAATTTCTTTCAAAGGCTTCGAAGCGGTATGAAAATGAGCCACACCAAATTGATCTGGTCCCATTCAACCTCTTTTGTTAGAATGAAACCGCTGCTAAATATATTATTATATTGATCCAGATAAAAAACAGATAATTTTTCCATCGTAGAACAACACTACACTAATGAAACCCCAACAAATAGATACATCACTGATATAGCCACTTCATCCGCTGCTTAGCTGATGAATTTGATAGACGGTAACAGCCACCGATTTATTTGATACCAGTATGAATACTTCCAACTTATCTGCTTGTAGCAATTCGATCCTAAACCTGTCCGTAAAAACTATTAAATTCACTAGTATGTTTTTATTAATTGTGACCTTATAAAGTGCACCGAGGGATTTAACGTTCGTAGGCTTTAGTATATAAATTCGTAGGCAGGATACAAATAATGCAGCTTTTCTATGACATCCTGTTTGCAATAATTAGTTCTTTTTCACCTTAAGAATATCAATGATAGCTGAATGTTGTCAATGAACGATGGATTCATCGATGTCACTGTACAAAAAAAATTTTTAAAACATTGTTCAATCCAAGGATATTGCTTTATTCAGTGTTAAAATATAATATTAGCCACAAACATCATCTAAGCCTTGTCAAATTTACGTTAAAACTGTTCATTTATGTAACAATCACAATTCTGCATGGAATAGCTCATGTAACAATTATTGACCTGTTTTCAGTCATAGGTTATTTGTAACTGTTTTTTTAACTTTAAGTCTATTTCTAATTTTAATATATACATCCTTAAATGCGAAATCTCTACTACAAAATTTAAATATAATTTTTTTCAGTCAAAAACAAGAAAAAAAAAGGACAAATATAGAAGATAATTACATGGCGCTGATGAGAGGTTAATTTTGCAGAAAATCCAGTCAACAGTTAATATATCTAATCTGAACTCTGACTATTAATAAATAAATAAAAGTAAAAATGCAAGGAGAAAAGTGTTACTTATCGAACGTTATTTGAAACCAATAAACGAAACAAAAAACAGTATTGAAAGAGCTATGTGAATGCCATACACTAATATGCACTAACACATTATAAAAGAAGAAATTACAATTTATTTTTTTGCAGGCAGTATCAAAGAAATAGACGGAATCTTGTATTATGACATGTTCATTTACAGATGAAAAACTACAGACGTGTCTTGGCTTCGCTCAAGGCTTGACAAAAACAAGGCCTTAAAAAACTATCAGAAAAGGCTAAGAAAAATTTTTGGTTTTAGAGACTAACCGCGAAATTTGCAAAATTTTTTAACGGAAACAATAGAAGGCTTGAAAACAAGTAATGTAAATTATTTTAGATTGGATCAGAAATATGTCATGGATTTCTAAAACCTCCTGATATTACTTGGAAATAAAAATAAATTTGCGATTTTGTGGGACAATAGACAAGTATGTGCCACGGATGTATTAGGATAAAACAGAAAATCAGGCAGTTAATGATGAATTGTTGAGTTTGACTAATGCGCGAAAAAAGTAAATTAGTTCAGCCTGAAGACGTGCTTCCATAATCATCAACAGCACGTGAATCTAAGAAGAGAAACTCGGTTGGCATATATCAAAAAAATTTCAACTAAACAGACAAGTAAATGAGTGAAATGAGCACATACAAGCAAATTTATAAGAAAAATTGATAATTTTCTACTAATGAATTGAATTTCCCTAACAAAATCATCTCAATTCTCAAACCTTTTCAGAAGGTTTGAAGTCGACCATCACGGACTGCCGTAATGAATGGGTAGTTTGATCTGGAAAGCAACATATTGTTTTGATAAACGTTTTCATTTGCCGACTCAACATAATATTTACTTTTGCGTAATTATAGTCGTCATGGCGAATGCCTGGAATTTATGACTTGTTAACAAAAGCAATAATTTATCAATCTTCTATTTTGGATTTTCTCCATCTCTTGCATAGACTAATTTATTACTAGAGTACAGCAATTAGGTCAGGAATTCTACTTCTATCTCATTTGAACTTCATCTTTTCATGATCATTATCTATCAAATTATTGCACATAGAAAAATACATTCATACACTCGAATTTAAATCAACATGTCATTTGTTTTTTAATCGCTGATAACCAAACCTTCCAAAACTTGTTTGATAACAAAACAATAGTAGAAGTAGAAAACGAATTAAGATATTACTGTTAATTGAAATATGTGTTGAGGGAAGCAGAGGGTAGACTATAATTGAATCTATCTGATTCATATTTATTGATAAACAAATACTTTACCGTATAAAGATTGGATATACATCCAGATAGCATTACGGTACTTGCTTGTGTCTACATCACTATAACCGCCCATCCTAAAATGATAGTAATTGATGAGAATCATTATAACAACAAGAAGACAACACTAAAACAACTATAAAGACAATGAACGCTTCACTTACGTAAAATAAGTAAGATTTTGAGTAAGAGTAAATTTTTTATCCAAAATATCTGCCATTTCATTATATAATTCATCTACACAACTGTAGCCTTGATCTTCCCACGACAATTCCTGAGCAAATTTCAATTTATTATAAAAAAAAGACTAGTTGAAAGGTGGATATTAAATAGACTGAACAAAAACCTGAAGTATATTACTATTTTTTTAATAAACTTTTCAAAAGTCAAATTCGTAAACAGAAATCATTTTATATTTTCGAAAATAATGCATTTTTGCGTTGTATTACTGCTGAAATAAAGCACAAAAACAATCTGCTTCCTAATTAAACGTCTCTGGCAGTAACTGACGTGAATTTTATGAGTGCGTGCATATCCAGCATGAGCACGTGAAGCGAAATCCATGTAAGCAAAACGATTATCGAAAGTATACAATGAAGCACGATGACAGCAATATGGCATCACATTCTCATCCTTGGAATCAACTTTTGAACTACTACTTCCTGGCGATGACTTCACCGCTTTTTTTGTAAACAAAATTACTTAGAAATTAAAACATTTTTTCGAGACTTTCTTATATTAGTTGAAAGAAAAACAGATTAGCTGCATCAATTTTCTGGTAGTGATTCTGACATGAAACTATATAAGTTTATTTACATCCATGGCTTTTTTTACCATAATCTTTTGGTGGTGTATCATTTCGGTCAGTTTGTACTTCTAAAAAATACTTCTGCAACTGCAGTTCACTTAACTGCTCAACAGATTCTGACTTTTTCAACTGATCCATTCTTTCCAACAAAAAATCAATTTCCTGGTTACTACCATTTTCTTTTTCAGTTATCATTTTTTGTAACCTGGAAATTATTACATTGTGTAATTTTAAACACAATGTATACGAGATGAATATTTCATTAGCTTATCAAGATATCAAGGATCATTTTTATTCAAGTTTAATTAGCTAAATTCTAATATTTGTAGTTTATCTCCTATCACTTATGCATTTTTGAATGAAACGAAAAGAAATAAATACAATTACTTTAGGGCTTAAAAAGCCACAAGAAAACGGTCAAAACATAAACAGCAAAAGAGATTGACCCATTATATCCATCAGGTTGTATGGTACCACTACCTAGTACAAAAGAACACAATACATGAGTCTGAGCTAGGACAATTGATGCCTGAACTAATTCGGAAAGAGACCAGTTTCCTGATGATGAGCATTTTGTAAGCACCTAAAACTATCTCACATATTAACCGTCCAAAAATCACCACTGCCAAAACAATATATTATCTATAAATTTTTAATTACCGTTGGTCAGTTAATATTTTTCACAGCACTCAAAATAAAGGCTCAGAAATTGTAATTTTATTCCAGAATACTCAAATTTTACAACAAAACATAACAAGTTCATCTGTTTCTTGCTAATTCAAAAAATATTCTGATTTCATTTTGTCTTTACTGTTGGATTTAGAAACTTATTCCGTTAAATAAAAAAAGAATGATTGACGCAACAAGAATGGATTTCTTAGGATAAAATAATTTAGTATAAGAAAACTCCATTATTGATAAACAGTCTGAAATTTGTAATTGACAACGACAAAACTACATTTTTTACTCTAATTAAAGTAAAAATTATTTGTTATGTTTACGTCACCCAAATAAATTTGATGGGCCTACGGTCAAGTGGTCCATAGTAGTCGACCAAGGTTGATGAGCTAATACAGTACTCAAAGCATCAAGTTTTTTGAGTTTTTCCGGAACATGCCGTAATCCTTTCAACCATTCGTGGTTCCCTCCGGTGCGTTCAAATTCACGTGTATGTAAATCCATCAAAAAATGACACTGATGCCTGCTTGATGCCTGAAATTTTACACCAACACGCAACTTCCACTTTGAAGCTACTCACTATTTAAAATTTAACTCAATCGCTTTGTAGAAAATGTAGTCGATAAATAAAATTTGATGCTGCGCAGCATGAACAATAGATTTTTCGGCTTGAGCACTAAAAGTTTTTCAAATCAAAAAAAAAAATACTATTAGATGCAAAATTTTTTAGCGTTTTCAAGAAGCAGAAAAGGAGAGGAATAAAATTGAACCATCAGAGCGATATAATGTCGTTCACAAACGGTCAAAGGGCCACTTCCATAAAAAAGTTGCTCAATTGCCTGGCAAAAAACAGCTCGATATTTCAGATGTAAACTAAGCCATCTGTAAAATTTCATTTGCAAACAAACAACCAAAATTTATATTTCTTTCAAATATTAAACATTAAGAAATGTTTATTTCACTTCAACACTAATTTCACCTTCTCTTATTTTTTTACCCTCTCATCTTTCATACCCTAATCCCTCCTACTTTCTATTCATCATTTTAGATTAGCTTTTTCGAAGTAGTTCGATCTAGAAGATTTCAACCATTACAATTATAAATCCCACAATTTCCATGAACCTTGGAAAATACAAAAAAATCCATAAAACTACTTTAAGATTTGCTGCCAGAAAATTCATCAAATTTTGATATTAATCGAAAACGAAGAATTATACGATAAGAGAAAAACGATTACATCATTCCATTAGCAGATATATTTTCTTGTCGAATAATAGCAAAAAATGTTTCCTTTTTAGAAAATATGTCATCATTTGGTGACTGAAAGGGAAGAGAACCACAAATTCTGCACAAATTGAAATTCATAATTTGATGAATAACTCATATCAACTACATATTCTTTTTGAATTTCATTAAATAAAATTTACCAGTTTGAAATTTGTACAACAATTTTCCATTTTCGACTGACTCCTTTACACACTAAAAATAAAAAGCATTAATCAAACGCAGGAAACAACACAAAAACTAACTTGTCAATTGGCTGCCAGACATCTGGTAAGAAAATAATATGCGTGTTTTTGCTGTCTTCTGCAGTCATAATAAACAAAATAACTGAAAGTAACGTTTAATTAATTGACTCGGCGATTCAGAATCACTGATTCATCAAGTAATTTCAGACAAAAATGATCGTGGGTTGCAATGAGACACACACATAAAAATGTAGCTGTTAGTTCTTTATCGTTTCATTTATATTTTTACCACGCCTTATAAGTCAGTCTCCTTTGTGAATAATTAATTATTACAAATTTTCTCAAGATAAATAATAAATATAAATCCATGAATCTAATAAGCAAAGCTCATTTCTAAAGATTCAACGATAACTTCAAGCGATTTACAAAAGTAATGTAAAATTCAGAACTGGCACTATTCAGAATTATTATTATAGTAGTGTGGAAAATTAATGAGGATGGATGAAG